TGGGATTTGTGGAGAGGAGGAGAAGGAGAAAAGGAGCAGAAGGACGGTGCTGTCTGAGCTGAGGTTCTAAACAGAATAATTAATCAGTGGAACTGTTTGCCTCCAGAAGTTGTGGGTGCTCCATCACTGGAGGTTTCAAGAAGAGATTAGACATCCATTTGTCTGGAATGGTATAGGGCTGTGACTCCGACTCCCGAGCCTGTCCTCATGGAGGAAGAGGACTCAGAAGATGAGGGGGAGGAACTGTCAAGGCCTTGCTCTCCAGGACCTTCCTCTCTGGCAATGCCTCAGGTTCCATCTGAAGGCCAGGAGGAACAGCCTGGGATGTGCCAGGAGGAAGGCATTTCGGAGCACCCATTGATAGAGAGCGATACTGATGAATCCTGGCTTGATCCCAGGCAGCGTCAGAGGGAGAAGCATGCGCAGCAAAGGAAGAGGTGTGGGAGGGCCAGGGATTGAGCTGAGTCACTGAGCCACGTCCCACAAGGAATAAAAGGGGGCGTGATTGCTCGGCAGGCTTTGTGACGGACAAACGTTTAAACTCTAAAGAGTCACATCGTGAATCCTGCACTTCGGCTCAGATATATTTTGGACTAAACTCTTGTGGATAATTTGTCGCTCTGGAAATGGACTGCAGATAAGGCCTCTCCTACTTTTTTGGGAGTACTAATTGGATTTGGCAGGCGTTTTACAAGTAGCTGCCAGAACTCTCGTCTGCCAGGAATTCTGGTCTGTTTATACAATACATTATTGGCAAGGGTGTTGGATATCGCATTTGTCTGTGTGAGGACGGGGGGCAGAACAGGAAGACCAGCTGACCCATGCATATGCGCGCGCCTGAAATTGGAAGATCATTTCCCGGCACACACATGTCCCCTGAGCCGCTCTTCTTCTGGGTTGCGTCCCCGATAAGCTCGGTGCTGAAAAGGTTCGCCATCACTGGTATACAGTCTCCTGCTTGAGCAGGGGGTTGGACTAGAAGACCTCCAAGGTCCCCTCCAACTCTGTTATTCTGTAATCCCAGACCAATTAATCAGTGGAATGGCTTAACTTCAGAAGTTATGGGTACCTTTATCACTGCAGGTTTCAAAAAGAGTTTAGACAGCCATTTGTTTGGAAAAGTATAGGGTAGTGTTCTGTCCCCGTACCATGCACACACCTAACCAGCCAGCCGAGGGTTAAATAAACTCTTCAAACACACAACGTCAGTGATAAGCAACTTGGCAGCAACTCTGTGGCTGCCTGCCAAGAGCTTTTACTCCGATAACACAGACAAAAATACCCACAGTTTGAATAGTCCAGTTTGTAATTAAATCCACGGCAAATAGATGTTGTGTCCGAAGGTGCAAGTGCCTCGCCAGAGATTTAGCTTTGTCCGTCACAGAGTCCGAATGGCCACCACACTCCCTTTTATAGCCTGTGGGGTGTGGTCCAGTGACTCAGCTTAATCTCTGGCACGCCTCCTTTTCCGCTGCTCACGCTTGTCTCTCCGACGCTGGCATGGGTCCAACCACAATGTTTCTTCGTCACTATCCGAAACACCTGGCTCATGGCCAATCTCTTCTCCTTCGGAAGACACCTGAGGCATTGCCAGAGAGGAGGGTCCTGGAGAGGGAGGCCTGGCCGTCTCCTCTCCTTCATGTTCGGAGCCTTCTTCCTCCGATAAGATAGGCTCGGAGGACGGAGCCACAACAGGTAGTGATGCCTAACCTTTTTGCCATTGCATGCCAGGAGCGGTGTGTGTGTGTGTGTGTATGTTGCGCACATGCCCACATCCATAATTCTATGCATCCCACACCTGCGCATGTGCGCGCGACCCGCCCGCTCCTGGCACATGATGGCCCGGCAGGCCTGTTTTTCTGACTCACCAGGCTCCAAAGCCTTTCTAGGAGTCTGGGGAGGGCGAAAATGTCCTTCCCCACCCCTCCGGAGGCCCTCCGTAGACCAGAAACGGCCCATTTGCCAACTTCCGTTGGGACTGGAAGCCCTCCAGGGGGGTGGGGAAGGTTGTTTTCGCCCTCCCCAGACTCCTAGAAAGGCTCTGGAGCCTGGGGAGAGAGAAAAATGGGCCTTCCCCACCACCATCCCAGGTCCTCCGGAGGCAGGAAACAGCCTGTTTCCCTACTTCTGGTGGGCCCAGAAGGGCCGAAAATCAGCTGGCTGGCACGCAGATGAGCACCGGAGCTGAACTTGCATGCCCACCAATATGGCTACACGTGCCACCTGTGGCACCCGTGCCATAGGTTCACCATCACGGGCTTGAGCAGGGGGTTGGACTAGAAGACCTCCAAGGTCCCTTCCAATTCTGTTATTGTATAATTCTGTGATTCTGTCAATTGGGAAAATGTGTAAACCTTCCCTTCAAATGTAATTGATTAGCGTAGTTTATTTTCCCAGGTTGCCACTTCTCCTTATTGTTATTTTTATTGGTATTAACTGCTTTTAATCCTGTAACCATCTCTACCATGACAGTGGATCATTGGTAGGTGACCTTAGAAATTATAACCAGACAACCATCAACTAAGCAAACCACAGGGTGGGTTTCAGATAGTAGATACCGATCTTCATGAATATCTCAGTTTATGGATTAGCAGACCATGGAGTGGTACAGTGGAGCTCTCGCCTCACAATCAGGAGGCTGTGAGTTCGATCCTGGGTAGAGGCAGATATTTCTCTCTCTGGGCACAATGAGAATATATCTGCTGAATAAAACTCCGTACTGACGACAGGAAGAGCATCCGGCCAGTAAACACTCTGCTAGCTCCATTCAGTTGCCCAGACTCTACCCCGCATGGGATTACTATGAGGTCGTTAAATGATGATGATGATGATGATGATGATGATGATGATGATGATGGATTAGAAGACCATATTATATTTGTTTTCTTTTGTTTTCATTGCAAACCTTCCACATTTCTGAAAGGCATTTTTCCTTCCTTTTAAATGCTAAAAACACTCAGGTGTGTTTATAGAAACATCAGATCTTTCAAGAGCATTTTGATTCCTGAATTTCTGGGAACCGTTTAAAATATGCTCACCTGACGCAGTTCCTGAATTTCTTGGGACTGTCATTTGATAACGTTTCTTAAGTTTCTTGGAACGGTTGCGTAATAATTGTGATTAGATGACAATTCTAAATGACAGAGGCAGAAAAACTCACTTTAAATATTGTGGCTGTGCTGTAAACACACCTACGTTTTCTTTCTTTCTTTCTTTCTTTCTTTCTTTCTTTCTTTCTTTCTTTCTTTCTTTTCTTTCTTTTTCTTTCTTTTTCTTTCTTAAGAAAATAATTTCTTAAAACAACAATGTGAATGTTAAATTCTCTTTTATGCGTGCCAGCATTTCATTGATACACTGATCCATGTAATAGATAGGAAGTCCTTTTGTCAGAGACCTGTGCCCAATCCCAGTAGGTCAGAGGAGGTAGAAGGAGCAAATCAACGAGGACCTACCTATGAGGAGGATCTGCCGAGGAGGATCTACCTACGTCTTACCATTGTCTGGCCTGGAAGCCATCTTTTTCATTGGACCTTCAGGCCTGCCACATTTAGTGGTGGGAAACTGGGAGGGGGGATTGTAGGGAGCAAAGGTGATATGCAGTCATAATAACATTCCTTTCTCAGAGAGTCAAGGACATCTTGCCCTGCACCTGCAGGGGTGTGACTGGGAGGCATCTCCAGTTGGGATGGTGCTTTGATTGGACCACATGATGGAAATGTGGGTGCAGGGGGAAGGGACTTGGACTTTCCTTTGGGTGGGGAAAACCTGGAAGCTTTCAGTTTGGGGTTTTCTCAGATGTGCCAATATGACATCTCTAATAAAAAGGAACTTTGAGGAATTTCTAGCCTTGGAGTCTTCTTTCATTGGGGGTGTTACTTGGAACCTTGACAACTATTGCAAAATAGACCCGAATCCAATTGGACTTGAATGCTTATGCTATGCTTTCAGTGACAGCAAATGACAACAAATGAAGATCTGGAATGCATAGACCAGTGATGGCTAACCTTTTTGCCATGGCGTGCCAGGAAGGAGGGGGGGGACGAGGGAGATTCATGCATGCGTGTGCCCACACCCATAATTCTATGCACCCCGCCCTGCGCATGCGCGCCCAATCCCCCCTCCCCCCTTGCTCCTGGCCAGTTTTTCTTTGTCACCTGGCTCCAGATCCTCTCTATGCATCTGGGGAGGGCGAAAACAGCCTTCCCCACCTACCCCCAGGCCCTCCGGAGGCAGAAAACTGCCTGTTTCCCTACTTCTGGTGGGCCCAAAAGGCCTGAAAATCAGGTGGCCGGCACGCACATGCGCGCCAGAGCTGAGCTGGCGTGCCCACTGATATGGCTACGTGTGCCACCTGTGGCACGCGTGCCATAGGTTCGCCATCACAGGTATAGACCAACTTTGTTGAGGAGGAAAGGGGAGAGGGAGAGGCAAAGGGAGAGAGAGAGGGAGAGGGAGAGGGACTGGGAGAGGCAGAGGCAAAGGGAGAGGGAGGGGGAGAGGGATGGTAGAAGGAAAGAGAGGGGGTGGGGGAGGCAAAGGGAGAGGGAGGGGAGGAGAGGGAAGGGAAGAAGAGGAGGGAAGGGGAGAGAGAGGGACTGGGAGAGACAGAGGCAGAGGGAGGGGAAGAGGAAGGGTAGAAGGAAAGGGAGGGGGAGGGGGAGGCAAAGGGAGAGAGGCAGAGGGAGGGGGAGAGGGACGGGAGAAGAAGGGGGAGGAGAGGGAGGGGAGGAGAGGGAGAGGGAGGGGGAGAGAGAGGCAAAGGGAGAGGGAGAGGGAGGGACTGGGAGAGGCAGACAGAGAGGCAGACAGAGAGGGAGAGGGAGAGGAGGGGGAAGGAGAGGAAAGGAGAAAGATTATGCAGTGCTGTTTTAGCTCTCACCTCCTTTTAAGACAAAACTCCTTTTGTGTTCATTGTTTGGCACTAAAATACGCAAGATGGGGGGAAAAAAGGGATTGTTGAAACATTTCAGTTTGGAAGAACGCTCGTTCTAGGAAAACGGTTGGGCCATTTACTATTTTAATCCTGAGCAAGTGGAAAGATTCCTTTTATGCAAGAGTAAAGTCTACAACGCTAATTACAGATCTACAAATCCATGATTTCAAGAAAAAAAAGAAGGCGACATGCATAACATAAAAAAAAATAAAATAAAAAATATGAGGATTATTTTAGAAGTGTCATTAACAATCCCCAAAACAAAATCCTCGCTATTGTACAGTAACAACAGCTTTCAAGACATGGGCACTCCGGCAAGACGCAACAAATCATTTAAATGTGGTGTTCCGTGTTCATATAAACCAAAGAGTAGAAGTGAAGAGTCGTAGCTCAGGGTTGAACCTTGACGGAGTCCTTGGCGTTCTCTGAGCTTTGTGGTTTTCGCGAGACGTTTCATTACCAAACGAGGGAACATCAACAGTCTTTGGGGTTCTTTGATGATGTCACCCAGTTTGGTAAGGAAACATCTTCAAGAAAACCACCAAGCTCAGAGAGCGCCAAGGACCTCACAAACCCAACACGGATGGAGAAAAGTCAATGCACAATCAAGATACAGTAGTGGCCAAAATTGTGGAAACCTTTTGGGGAAAGTGTATTTTCTAAAACTAGCTAATAACACTTTTTTTTTTCTTGGAATAGCACCATAAAATTGTATATCAATGGAAAGATAATTGAATCAAGAATGCAATGCAATAACTTTTAGGAAGGATTTGCTGTTAGAATAGCAGTTACGGTATAAAGAAGAAAAGTGAAACATGTAGAAAAAAAAGAGATATACAAAAATGATCACCAGGTCAATTAATACGTACCCAAAATAAGACCAAACCCTGATAATAAGCCCAATCGGGCTTTTGAGTGCATGGCAATAAGGCCAAGTGCTTATTTCAGGGTTCAAAAAAATATAAGACAGGGTCTTATTTTCAGGAAAACACGGTAGTTGAGTAACCTTTAGCATGATTTACGGCCTTACAACGTCTTCCCATGGAGTGAACCAAGTCTTTTAGTTCTGCAGCTGTTCTAATATGAAACCAAGATTTATTTATTTATTTATTGGTTCGATTTATATGCCGCCCTTCTCCAGAGACTCAGGGTGGCTTACAATGCTTTATTCATTCATTCATTCATTCATTCATTCATTCATTCATTCATTCATTCATTCATTCATTTTTATACCGCCCTTCTCCCGAAGGACTCAGAGCGGTGAACAGTCAAAATAACATACATATAAAAATGTGAAATAAAAACAATTTAAAATAATTAAACCAATTTGGCTCATCAGTTAAGATCAATAGCCTTCATACTTTTGTATATATCTGCTTAGTAGGGCTTTTGGGCCCCCCTAAGTGGTATTCTTTTTTTATACAAAGTCAGTTTATTGCCCCCACAATCCGGGTCCTCGTTTTACCAACCTCGGAAGCAGGGGTGGGTTCTAAATTTTTTTACTACCGGTTCTGTGGGCGTGGCTTATTTTGTGGGTGTGGCTCGGAGGTCATGTGACTAGGTGGGCGTGGCTAGCTGGTCAGAGTCATTTCTGAAAGGTCCTCGCACTTACAACCAGTCCTCGCACTTACGACCCGACTCATTTGTTTGCTTTTAACACTGATCAGCTGTAGGGCGGCCCTTTGAAGCCCCGCGGCAAGAGTTTAAACAGTTTTTTTCCCTCTAGTCATCAGTTGTGACTCAGGAGGCAGCAATAGATTGGGGGTGGGACCAAATAAAAGGTAAGAATAACGTACGTGGGTGGGTGGGTGGGAGAACCGGTTCGGTGATGTCATATCATCACCGCTATCGGCTCGGCCGAACCGGACCGAACCGGGAGGAACCCACCACTGTTCGGAAGGATGGAAGGCTGAGTCAACCTTGAGCCTGGTGAGATTTGAACTTGCAATAATAGCAGGCAGCTGGCAGCTAAGTGCTACTTTAACAACACTCTAGTCCGCTGCACCACCAATGCTCCTTATTGAAGCCTTAGATTGAATGATGGCTTCTATTAACTGGGTTTGATTGCTGGGTGGCTTCTGACTAACCAGTTTCTTTAGTCGTCTCCATAGATTTTCAATTGGGTGAAGGTCTGGGCTATTCTCAGGCCATTCCAGCAGTGGAATAGGATTATCTTGAAACTCAAAAAAAAAAAAAAAAGTGGTGTTATTAGCCCTCAAACCTTAAAAATACACTTTTCCAAAAATGTTCCCACAATTTTGGCCACTACTGTATTTGACAAAGCATCTCCAGTGAGGTTTCAAACAGCAGGATGGTGGGCCATCAAAAAAGCATGACCTCTTCTGTCATGTGCTAGACATGTCAAAGATGCAGGACTTCCACTGTGTCGTTCACAAGGACCATATTGACTATCTGGCCAATGCTCCACAGCTGTATTCATGATTGCCTAAGCAATTATTCAAACCGGTCCAATGAAGACATAGAACAATGGCTTACAGAATGAATGACTCCCATCCTTCTGGTCCTTAGAATCCATGGCTTTTTACATAAACTAGCAGGACCGAATTTCTGAAGTGATTCTTTAACCCAAGGCCACGCACGGACAATATATCTCACATTATATAAATAAAAATAAATAAACCCCCCAGCCCTAAAATTATTCATGGTCTTTTTTTAAAAAAAAAAAAGCACATTTGGTTTTTGTTTTTTTAAAAAAATAAAAGGATAGTTGGATGTACATGTTTAGAATAAACCACAGTCTTTCAAATTATTCTTGATGATGACGTCGGTGACCGCATCGAAGACAAATTGAACATTCTTGGTATCGGTGGCACAGGTGAAGTGGGTGTAGATTTCTTTCGTGTCTTTTCTCTTGTTTAGGTCTTCAAACTGACACTGGATGTACGCAGCTGCTTCTTCATATGTGTTTGATCCTAAAAGAGGAAAGGAGAAAAAAAATAAAGGTGGATTTAGGCCCGTTAGATTAGGGGGTGACACGATAGCGGCATTCCAATATCTCAGGGGTTGCCACAAAGAAGAGGGAGTCAACCTACAGATACAGATTAACAGTTGGAAGGGATCTTCCTTGGAAGTCATCTAGTCCAACCCACTGTTCTGTCCTCGTCTCACACACGCACACAGACAGCCGGGGGTTAAATAAACTGGCAGACAACCAATTCTTCCGATAAGAAGCTTGGCAGCAACCCAGTAGCTGCTTGCTAAGAACTTTACTCATAAACAAAATACACACAGTCAAGAATTGTCCAGTTCGTAAAATAAATCCAAGGCCGATAATGTTGTTTCCAAAGATGCAACATGACTCGATAGTAGTTAGTTTTGTCCGTCACAGAGTCTGAATGGCCACCTCACCCCCTTTTATATCCTGTGGGGTGTGGTCCAGTGACTCAGCCTAATCTCTGGCACGCCTTTTCTTCTGTTGCGTGCGCTTATCTCTGCGACGCTGCCGGGGATTCAGCCAAGACTCATTTCCCTCATCACTGTCCACCTGTGGCTGCGTGGATGTGCTTGGCCCTGGCCCTATCTCTTGCCCTTCGGCGGACACCGAAGGCATTGCCAGAGAGGAGGGTCCTGGAGAGGGAGGCCTTGTCAACTCCTCTCCTTCACTCTCGGAGTCCTCTCCTGCCGATGACACAGGCTCAGGTAACGGAGCCACAACACCCACCTCTCCACCCAAGCAGGAAACCCTACACCATTTCTGATAGATGGCAATCCAATCTCTTCTTGAAAGTATCAAGTGATGAAGCTCCCACAACTTCCGACGGCAACTTCTGTTCCATGGGTTGATTGTTCTCAGTGTCAGAAAATTTCTTCTTATTTCCAGGTTGAATTCCTTGTTCATCTCCTTGTTCAGTTTCCATCCATTATTTCCTTGTCTGGCCTCCGGGTGCTTTGGAAAATAGGTTGACCCCCTCCTCTCTGTGGCAGCCCCTCAAATATTTGAAGACTGCTATCATGTCTCCCCTGGTCCTTCTCTTCACTAGACTAGCCATGCCCAGTTCCTGTAACCGTTCTTCATATATTACATATTTTTGGGAGAATAGAATATCTATTCTCCAAAGCATGTGAAGATAGGACAAGAAGCAATGGAGGGAAATTAATCAAGGAGAGAAGCAACCTGGAATTAAGGAGAAATCTTTGGTTGCCATCATTGGGTCGGATTAAATTCCTCAACAATAACATCTTTCCATTATATCACATAAGTAATGGAAGGATGTTCTTACCATGTTTTCCCCAAAATAAGACCCTGCCTTATACTTTTTTGAACCCTGAAATAAGCGCTTGGCCTTATTGCCATGCACTCAAAAGCCCAATTGGGCTTATTATCAGGGGGTGTCTTATTTTGGGGAAAACAGGGTATTACCTCTTGAAAACAATTATTTATGCCAGGGATGAAAAAAAAATGTAGGCTTTCAACCTTCTCATGAACCATAAAAGATCTTTCAAGGATGTAGTAAAGTCAGCAGAATAAAAGGAGCAGAATAAAAGGAGCAGACTTCATCCCAGAGAAAATATATATGGTCACTAATCTTGACATCAACTTGATGGCCCATAACCAGTCAGAAGTTCCTTCCCTTAAAAAATTCTATACAAGCCCAAAAATCAGATCAAATTTTGGACCACAATTACTTGTAGGCTGAGTTTCATATAGGAAGGAGGAGGAGGGAGGAGGAGGAAAGGAGGAGGAGGAGGAGGAGGAGGAGGAGGAGGAGGAGGAGGAGGAGGAGGAGGAGGAGGAGGAGGAGGAGGAGGAGGAGAAGGAGGAAGGAGGAGGAGGAGGAGAAGGAGAAGAAGGAGGAGGAGGAGGAGGGGAGAAGGAGGAGGAGGAGGAGAAGAAGAAGAAGAAGAGGAGGAGGAGGAGGAGGAGGAGAAGGAGAAGGAGGAGAAGGGGGAGAAGAAGAAGAGGAGGAGGAGGAGGAGGAGGAGGAGAAGAGGAGGAGGAGGAGGAGAAGAAGGAGGAGGAGGAGGAAAGTAAGAAAGAAATTTTGCAGTTGAAATTTAGTTATAGAATTTAATAGCACATTGTTAATGCCTACAAAGAGTTGTGTTGCCAGCCCTTGCTTCGAGTTGCCAATGTTTTAATTGGCCTATTTACTATATTCCCTAAATCACATTTTACTTCTGCACATGCAACTATTCAGTGCAGTAACTGTTAGTCTGCTACAGCACAGTGCAAAAGTCCAATAACAAATTAAACACTTTGTGGAATGTTCACACTAAAGAAGCCTTTATGTCTCTGGCAACTATTTTCACTTTGCTCCACAACAATGCTAATTCAGTTATTAAAATATCACATTCTTTTATGTGAGAGGTGAAATCTGGGGTATGTACAGTAAACAGTTCCATAAATACCATTCACACCGTTCACAATAATAAGAAACCTTCCATTCAGATTCTTATTATTTAGGAGAACAAACACTTTAGGCAATATTTACTATACTCGAGAGTTCCAAGACAATAATTCTCTTTTTTTTTTCTTTAAAATTCTCCTTCCCTCAACACATCTTCTCTCCTTGATGGATTCTCTCCTCAAGACTGTGCTACTAAAATTCCATAGCTAAACTTTAACTGCAAAATTTCTCTCCTTCTCCCTTTGATGGATGAAAACTAATCCAGGAGAGAAGCAACCTAGAACTAAGGAGAAATTTCTTGACAGTGAGAACAATTCATTGGTGGAACTGCTTGCCTCCAGAAGTTGTGAATGCTCCATCACTGAAGGCTTTTAAGAAGAGACTGGACAACTACTTGTCTCAAATGGTATTGGTCTCCCTTCTTTCCTTCCTTCCTTCCTTCTTCCTTCCTTCCTTCCTTCCTTCCTTCCTTCCTTCCTTCCTTCCTTCCTTCCTTCCTTCCTTCCTTCCTTCCTTCCTTCCTCCCTCCCTCCCTCCCTCCCTCCCTCCCTCCCATCCATCCATCCATCCATCCATCCATCCATCCATCCATCCCTGGGGTTTTTTAAGAAACTGGACAGCTACTTGTCTCAAATGGTATTTGGTCTCCTTCCTTCCTTCCTTCCTTCCTTCCTTCCTTCCTTCCTTCCTTCCTTCCTTCCTCCCATCCATCCATCCATCCATCCATCCATCGCTGGGTTTTTTTAAGAAACTGGACAGCTACTTGTCTCAAATGGTATTGGGTCTCCTTCCTTCCTTCCGTCCTTCCTTCCTTCCTTCCTTCCTTCCTTCCTTCCTTCCTTCCTTCCTTCCTTCCTTCCTTCCTCCCATCCATCCATCCATCCATCCATCCATCCATCACTGGGGTTTTTTAAGAAACTGGACAGCTACTTGTCTCAAATGGTATTGGGTCTCCTTCCTTCCTTCCTTCCTTCCTTCCTTCCTTCCTTCCTTCCTTCCTTCCTTCCTTCCTTCCTTCCTTCCTTCCTTCCTTCCTTCCTCCCATCCATCCATCCATCCATCCATCCATCCATCACTGGAGGTTTTCAAGAATAGATTGGACAACCGCATAAAATGGGAGAGAGATATACCTGGGTATTCTGGATAGCAAATAGTAAGAGGACTCCTTTTGATTTTTTCTTCAAAGAGATCCTTTTTATTTAAGAACAGGATGATAGAAGTGTCTGTAAACCACTTATTGTTGCAGATGCTATCAAACAACTTCATGCTTTCGTGCATCCTATTCTGCAAATGAAATATATATATATATCAGTTTTCTTTCCTCACTTCCATGCGTAATAATATCAAGATCAATTCGCAAATATTTTCAACGAAAGAGATCAAGAAAACAAAACTCAATGTACTGAAACAATAAGGACCAAAACCTGACATTTCTTATTTCAGACCATGATTTGAATTATTCAAACCAACCATTCAAATTAATGTAAGATCCCCTTGAAATAGTTCAGCTGCTGGTTAGTTCTGCTTCCTTTTTACCAAAATAAAGTATTTTTTACAATATTTTACAATGTGTTGATCGTGATTATGTACAAGTATTTTTAATACCCAAAATGCTCTTTTGAAGCATATAAGTAAATCCCTAAAAACAGAACACGACTTCATCTATAGGCAAGCTAGAGAGAAAATTATCGTAACTGTTCTCTCGCTGCTAAAGGGGTAAAATGTGATTAAATTACAGGTAGTCCTTGGCTTTCAATCACAATTGGGCCCAAAATTTCTGTTGCTAAGCAAGACAGTTGTTAAGTGAGTTTTGCCCCGTTTTAAAATCTTTCTTGCCACCGTTGTTAAGTGAATCACTGCAGTTGTTCAGTTAGTAACTCCCTTCTTTCCTTCCTTCCTTCCTTCCTTCCTTCCTTCCTTCTTCCTTCTTTCTTCTTTCTTCTTTCTCTCTCTGTCTTCCTTTCTTCCCTTCTTCTTTCTTTATTTTTTCTTTCCTTTATTTATTTCTTCCCTTCCTTCCTTCCTCTCTCTGTCTCCCTTCATCCTTCTCCTCCCCTTTTCTTTCCTTCCTTCCTTTCTTTCTGTCCCTTCCCTCCCTCCATCCCTCCCTCTTTTTCTCTCTCTCTATCTTCCTTCCTTCCCTTTTCTTTCTTTATTCTTTCTTTCCTTTCTTTCTTTCTTCCCTTCCTTCCTTCTTTCCTTTTTCTCTCTCTCTCTGTCTCCCTTCATCCTTCTCCTTCTCCTTCCTCATTTCTTTCCTTCCTTCCTTTCTGTCCCTTCCCTCCCTCCCTCCCCCTCCCTCCCTCCCTCCCTCCCTCCCTCCCTCCCTCCCTCCTTCCTTCCTTCCTTCCTTCCTTCCTTCCTTCCTTCCTTCCTTCCTTCCTTTCTTGTTTACTTACCATTTCTTCATCTTCTGCAAGGACCAAGTCATAATCACTAAGTGCCACACAAAAAATTATAGCTGTAACCCCCTCAAAGCAATGAATCCATTTTTTCCTTTCTGATCTTTGGCCTCCAACATCAAACATCCTGCAAAACAAGAGCAAAAAACAATTTTTTTAAAAAAAAAACCCAATCAACTGGATTCTACCCAGACCAAAAATAATTAGGACACCTATAATTGAAGAGAAAGACTATAAACCAAGAATGAGAAAGACTTTCCAAAATATCTTCTCCATTCAAAAACAAAATTAATTTCACATTATAGGTGACATATCTCTGTATTCATTAGAAGATATCACCATTTATTTTTATTTTTTTGGTTTTGCAAATTAGATCCTTAATCACAAACTGTGGAAGGTGTTCCTTTCTGGGTCTGCTATTTCCCAGGATCTTCCTGTTCTGTTTTTCAGTTTTATATTTTTTTTATCTACCTTCTAAGTTAAAAAGATTGAATGAATGAATGAATGAATGAATGAATGAATGAATGAATGAATGAATGAATGAATCAATGAATGAATGAATGAATGAATGAATGAATCAATCAATCAATCAATCAATCAATCAATCAATCAATCAATCAATCAATCAATCAATGCTTGCCAGTTTAAAAATATTATGAAATACTGTTCTGACCTAGGCTTCCCAAGAGCATGAAGCAGACTCCTTGTCCCAACAAAAACCCCTTTTTATTAAGTTACTGTGAATTCCTCTCATTCACATCCAGTGAAGTCTTTCAAGGGAGAATTTCCAGTCACAGACCTTATCTGGCTTGGAGAGCTGCCAGGCCGATATCTTCAAAACTTGGCAAGGAGTCTCGGAGAGTCACAAACCAATTAAGTGAATTAATTGTCTCCTGCAAACTCCACTCCCCTTTCGCTCCTCTTTTATTCCCTCTGGGAGGGGTCATTCATTGTCCACCTGTGGCTTTACTCCTGAGTCGACCTTTGTTCTTTAGCTGTTCCCTTCATCTGGCAACTCTGCGCATGCGCACACTGGGAACAGGATGCATCTGTTCTTCTGCCCCATTGATGTCTGACCCCGAAGGCAGCTGACAACTGTCAGACAGCCCTGGCCCCATCTCTGCCTCCGATGCAGAGCCCTCATCAGAGCCTTCCCCAGACTCCAGGACTGGTCCATGTTCCTCCCCAGCCTCCTCATTGTCTGACTCTGCCACCAGCTCCACTGGCTGCTGGCGGCCCACAACAAATATTCTGTTCCGGACAGATATATAGTCTCTTCCTACATTTCATGCAAAGAAAATATTTGAATAACATACTGAATACCCAGTATTGTATTTTGAAGGCCGTTACTTACTTAAAATGGAGATCTTTGAAAGTAAAATGAGTTTCCACTATTCCTGTGGTTTTCACTCTGGTCCTGAGGACATCTTGTTGTGTTGGGATATAACCGGTGTGGGCGATTCTGTCCAAATCATTCAAATAGCTAGAATAAATATCGAAGGCCTTTTAATCTTAAATGGAACTGTACGTATCATAAAGATTAGCTTCGCCAAAACTTTCTTTAAACTGCTTTAAAGTTGCGGGCAGCTTCCAAGAATCGTGGGCCTTGTTGAACAGACAATAGATGCAGCTTCTGAAAATGATTCAGAAGAATCTGAAAAAGATTCAGAAGAATCCCCTTTTGCTCGTCAGAAGGTCGCAAAAGGTCATCCAGCACCCGAATGTGAATCAGGTCACCACGGGGATGCTACGACAGTCATAAGTGTGAAAAATGGTTGTAAATCACTTTTTTTCAGCACCGTTGTAACTTTATTTATTTATTATATTTCTATACCGCCTTTCTCCTGTAGGACTCAAGGCGGTGTACAGTCAAGAAAAATATAGACACAAAAACATCATAAAATTGCTAATTAAAATTATTATTTAGTTTGGTCAATTAAATAAAACCCAGAATTAGATCACATTTAAAAAAATTCGTTCACATGTTCATATGTTTGAATGGTCACTAAGCGAACTGTTGTTCAGTCGAAGACTTCCTGTGTACCGTAGTTTTAAATAGAATCTTCTATTTTTAAATCTTCTATTTTTAAATAGAATCAGGAGCAGCAGAGATCCGTACCTTGTAAGCTATTCATTAGCGTAAGAACAGACTTTTGTAACATTCAACATAGTTTTAATTTAGATAAATAAATATTTATTGCTGTATAATAATATTTATTTGCTGTATACTAGAAACGAACGGTTTTATGTGACAACCGACCACTCCCAAACTCCTCCTATTTATTTCCCAGCCAGGGAGGGTCTGGCTATTGTCTACGACTGCCTCTCCCTGAGATCCAGCTTACTGCTTTCCTTTGCTCTCCTCTCCTTTCATCTCTGTGCATACATGCATCTGGGATGGGCCCCATCTGTTCCTCCTCCTCACTCAGCTCAGAGTCCTGACCAGTAGTGAGTTCCACTTACCTTCGCTACCGGTTCAGAACTGGGAGCATGCATGCGTGTGTGCTTACTTCGCTTAAACACGGCATTTCTGCACATGCGCAGAGTGTCTGTGATGATGTCCGGGCAGGTGGGCAGAGCCTCCCACTGCCACCAATACCGGTTCGCCCAAACTGGGGAGGAACTAGTAGAAACCCACCACTGCTTCTGACCAATGGTGAAATCCAAATTGTTTTACTACTGGTTGTGTGGGCATGGCATGGTGGGCATGGTGCGGCTTGGTGGGCGTGACTTGGTGGGCATGGCAGGGGAAGGATACTGCAAAATCCCCATTCCCTCCCCACTCCTGGGGGAAGGATACTGTAAAATCTCCATTCCCACCCCACTCTGGGGCCAGCCAGAGGTGGTATTTGCTGGTTCTCCGAACTACTCAAAATTCTCCAGAACCTGTCAGAACCTTCTGAATAGCACCCCTGCTTCTGACCCAGCTCCCCAAACACGACAACCCCTCTGAAGTGAACTCAAAGATTCCTTTGTCAGGAGCGCCAGCAGCCCCGGCAAAAAGTTTCTCCCTCACTGCAGGCTAACAAGTCCATCTGTCCGGAAGATGAATAGTTGTCTGCCACATCTGTTCATCTCCGCCCCCTGCCTTTTATCCCCAGAGCTAGGGTGGGACTTCACTAGCAGTTGGTAGCTCTTCCGTCCCAAGGACCAGCCCATAGATTTCCACTGCTCTCCTCTCCTCTGCCTTCTGCCCATCCACGCATCAGGCACTGGACCCAGCTGTTCCTCCTCTTCTTCATCAGCCACCTCCAGACCTGGGGGCTGTTGACTCTCGATCTGACGGATGGCCCAGGATCTGCCTCTGTCTATCTCTGGCCACAACACTCAGGCCCCAAACACAGCAGCCTCTGCACCAGGGGGAGGATAGAAAATCCCCGGCTCTGCCTCTGTCTCTGATACTGTTTCCTTATCATAGCCTTCCAAAGGCTCTGAAGCTGGCCCAGGCTTTTGCTCAACTTCCTCCTCATCTGACTCTGCAGCTAGCTCTGCTGGCAGCCGACGGGCCACAATAGGGATGTATAGTTCTGTGCAAATTTACCCTGGTTGAAGTGGCATTGGCTGTTCTCATTTTGCCAGAGCTCTTATTTCTTGCGTCGGAACATTTGCATCAGATGGCGTAATTCTTTTCGGATACTTACTATGCGGCTGAGTCATTAAGCTGATATTCTCTCGATCGGTTGAAACAGGTGTGAACTCCGGGGTCTCTCCACAATCTTTTGATCACCCCAGCAAGTTCTCCCGTCATAAAGCCTTCTTCTGCTGCTCCAGCAAGGACAAAGAGTAGACGCGCGTCGTCCTATCATAACAGAGGAAAAAAGAACCTGAACTCAAAACACCGTTAATCATTTCGTAGGAGTTGCTTCACGTCCGATTTTGCACCACAGTACGGAGCACTTTTATACCTTCTGACTGGGATGTGATTTTTCGGAGAAAAGAAATCCGTTCACCCTATGATTTCATGAATCCTGAATAAGTGTTTCCAGGACTACGTGATCAACACTAAGATTTTAGGAGCAGACACCCAAGAGAGAACTACTGACATATCAACTTCAGGAAGTGACAGCTACAAATTTACAATTCACTAGAATTTCTAGGGCAGTCATGGCTGACCTTTTCTGGACCGAGTGCCCAAAGCGCATGCCTAAACCCCCAAAATGCAATGCACATGCAGCCCACATGTATGTGCCCTGCTCCCACGCATGTGTGCATGGCCCCAGCTTGCCCCCCGCCCCCCAGGAATGTGTGTGTGGCCTCCTGCATGGACCCCACCCTCTGCACATGTGTGTGGCCCCCCACATGCACCCCGCTTTCACACATGCGCGGCAGAGACCCGAAGACCAGCTGGTTGGTTGGAGGTGCGCTCACATGCACGGCAGAGCTGAATTGGGGCAACGGCTCGCGTGCCATCAGAGAGGGCACTGCGTGCAACCCCTGGCGTTCACCATCACGGGTCTAGGGGATGAGAGCTTCTCCTCCTCCTCCTCCTTCCTTTTCCTCCTCCTCCTCCCCCACCTCCCCTTCTTCTCCCCTTCTCCTCCTCCTCCCCCTTCTCCTCCTTCTGAATGTACAGTAGCAGGAATATCAAAGTTCCTGAATTTCTGAATTCTGAATTTCAGAATTAAGGACAATATTTAAAGGGAATATTGAAAAAGTTAATACTTACAGCCCTGGCTGAATCTCCAAAGTCTATTTTCAGCCTCCCCATAGCTCTTATGATAGCAATAATGGACTGGATTGTATTACTGTAGACAACTGCTTTATACTGTTTACATTCCTCTTCGGAATATCCAGCTTCGTGGATAATTCTGATCAAGAGACAAACAAAATCACGTTTTACGTTTCATGACATCATTTCCTGACTTCAACGAAGTTTATATCCTCACCCTTAAGCATACTTACTTCATTTGTTTGACAATTGTGCTTTTTCCGGATTCACCGGCTCCTAAAAGAAAAAAAAAAAACCACAAAGAGTTATTTAAGGGAAATATTCTAAATAAAGGCATGTAGTAGAATTAGGTCATCTGATCATATTTCCTCTCCGGAAAAGCTGACATCAATCCTGCAAGTCCAGAGGTCAAATTCAGCTGTATATTTAAAAAAAAAGCCAGACTTCATTCACCTGGGCTCTTACCTTAAACAAAATTCGATTTTTAAAGGGACAGATACAATTTTGTGACTGTGAGCTATATGATTAATTGATGGATGGATGGACTGATGGATTGATGGATTGATTGATTGATTGTCTGACTGATTTTGCAGATCTAAGCAGAACTGTATTGGCTAGTGTGAACAAAAATGGGGAAGCTGTTGTCCCAAAAGTGAATTGAACTTTCTTGGTTTTTTTTTTCCTTGAAAATTTCGCTTCTCATCCAAGCAGCTTCTGAAGAACTTCCGTTTTCTTCTGAAGAACTTCATAAGCTCTTCGGAAGTTCTTCAGAAGCTTCTTGAATGAGAAGCGAAACTTTTTCAAGGGGAAAAAAACCAAGGAAGTCCAATTCCTTTTTGGACAAGAACTATTGGGACAACCATGACCTGGATGATTGAGAATCTCCATAGACCCAGAGCCATTTTCCCCTTTCCAAGTTTTCCCTTTATATAGAGAGCAAGGTTCTTGGGTGTTGTTTTTTTTTTATGATCTACAACTTAAATATAACAACTATATAAAATGCCAGAAAATGCATAGTTTAGCTTTCAGAATTTTGCCATGATATTTCAGCAGTGTGCTTGCATCTTTAATACACTATCATACTGTCTTTGTATGATATTTGAGGAGGAAAGCCATGGCAAATCTAGACAGCATACTAAAAAGCAGAGACATCACCCTGCCAACAAAAATGTGTATAGTCAAGGCTATGATTTTCCCAGTTGCAATGGATGGCTGTGAAAGTTGGACCATAAGGAAGGCTGAGCGTCAAAGAATTGAGATCTTTGAACTCTGGTGCTGGAGAAGACTCCTGAGAGTCCCTTGGACTGCAAGGCCATCCAACCGGTCAGTCCTAGAGGAGATCAACCCTGACTGCTCTTTAGAAGGCCAGATCCTGAAGATGAAACTCAAATCCTTTGGTCACCTAATGAGAAGGAAGGACTCCCTGGAGAAGAGCCTAATGCTGGGAACGATGGAGGGCAAAAGAAGAAGGGGACGGCAGAGAACGAGGTGGCTGGATGGAGTCACTGAAGCAGTCAGCGTGAGCTTCAATGGACTCCAGAGGATGGTAGAGGACAGGAAGGCCTGGAGGAAAGTTGTCCATGGGATTGCGATGGGTCAGACACGACTTCGCAACTAACAGCAACAACAACTGTCTTTGTTCTGATTAAAAATAAAGCATATTATCAGGCCCAGCCTAAAAATGACATATGGTCAGTCCATTGTTTGCTTACATGCAATAAACAGAATCTTGCCAGACTAAAGCTATACTATCCTAATGGATTTATCCTGGGAGATTCTAATGTGTGGCTATCCTAAGTCTCTTTCTCATTCTTAAAATGATTAGGGGACTGGAGGCTAAAACATATGATGAATGGTTGCAGGAACTGGGCATGGATAGTCTAGTGAAGAGAAGGACCCGGGGAGATAGGATAGCAGCCTTCCAACATTTGAGAGGCTGCCACAGAGAGGACGGGGGTCAAGCTCTTTTCCAAGGCACCCAAAGGCCAGACAAGGAATAATGGATGGAAACCATAAACAAGGAGAGATTTAACCTGGAAATAAGGACAAATTTTCTGACAGTGAGAACAATCAACCGATGGAACAGAAGTCTCTGGGGCCAGCCAAAGGTGGTATTTGCCGGTTCTCTGAACTACTCAAAATTTCCACTACCAGTTCTCCAGAACCTGGATTTCACCCCTGCTATTGTTCCTTCGTGAAATCAAGATCTATACTTATCTTAGATCGGATAAGCTGTGCAGCCAACTGGAAAAAGAAAAATTAGAATGATTTGCCTGGACTTCCTCCCAACGCTTCCTTTGCAATTCAAACTACTGACTTTGCTATTTGGAGGACACCGTTCCAGCTAAGAGAAGTCTATTTCTACTTTTCAGAAGTCTGAAGACCAAAAATAAAAAGGTGCTATTTAACAGAGAAATTTAAATTAAATTAAATTAAATTAAATTAAATTAAATTAAATTAAATTAAATTAAATTAATTAAATTAAATTAAATTAAATTAAATTAAATTAAATTAAATTAAATTAAATTAAATTAAATTAAATTAAATTAAATTAAATTAAATTAAATTAAATTCATTAATTTAATTAAATTTTCAGTTCATTAATTTAATTTAGTTTAATAAATCTGAGACCTTATACACCAGAGACAAATTCCTTGTCGGTCCAATCACACTTGGCCAATAAAGACTATTCTATTCTAAAGAATATTCTATTCTATTTTTTTTTTATTGGATAGCGATAAATCCCTAAAGAGTGTATTAGTTTAGTTTAGTTTATTTGATTTGTATACCGCCCTACTCCCGAAGGACTCAGGGCGGTGAACAGCCAAACAATAAAATTCATAAATACAAAAAATTTAAAAACCAGATAAAATCAAATTAAATCATTTTGGCCCGGACAGATTAAAAAAATCTATGTAAGATCCACTGTTTTAAAGATGTTTAGAATCATCCAATGGTCTATTTGATCTCAATATGCCATTAGTTTACCTCTTGAATAGGTAACCATTATATTTATGGTCATATATTCATAATGGCATATTGTTTGTGAAAAACCTCTAGGAAAAGCACACAACCCAAATCAGGATTCTTTGATTAAGTTGATTTTCAGATTTAAGATTGAAATGGAATCTAATCACTTCTTGGATAGTGCTACTATAAGGGAAAGACAGATGTTCAGATATAAGTATATCTTATATATACTTTCACATTTATTTCTATCATCATCATCTCCTAACGACATCATAATCCCTGTGGGGTGGAGTCTGGGCAACTGAATGGAGCTAGCTGAGTGTTTACTGGCCGGATGCCTTTCCTGTTGCCAGTGCTGAGTTTTGTTCGGCAGATATATTCTCATTGTGCCCAGAGAGAGAAATATCTGCCTCTACCTAGGATCGAACTCACAGCCTCCTGATTGTGAGGCGAGAGCTCCACCTCTAGGCCACCGCACTACTTTCGTATTTATTTATATAATTCAGATTATTAATAGCATTTGATGCCTCTAGGAAAAGAAACTCCAAATACCACTCTTCCATATAGTTACCTAAATATGTAGGTAAAACACACTATAAAATATAATGTTATGTATTTAAGAGGCAAATAATTGGCATACTGAGATCAAATAAACTATTGGAAGATTCACACTACTTTAAGCTTGCTTCCAGCTGTTTAATAATTACAAAAAAAAAAAAAAGGAGCGATCCATTTAAAGCAGATTGCTGAAACACCTTTGATACATAATATTTAAAATATAGACATGGGCTTCAGTGTGATATGGGGGCATGGCTCACAGGGTACAGTACGTAATAACAATAGCAATATCACTTATATACCACTTCATAGTGCTTGTACAGCCCTCTCTAAGCGGTTAACAGAGTCAGCACATTGCCCCCAACAATCTGGGTCCTCATTTTACCCACCTCGGAAGGATGGAAGGCTGAGTCAACCTTGAGCTGGTCAGGATCGAACTCCTGGCAGTGGGCAGAATTAGCCTTCAATACTGCATTCTAACCAGTGTGCCACCAGGAAGGAGTATGAGAAAGGGAATAAGAGAGGAAGGAAGGAAGGAAGGAAGGAAGGAAGGAAGGAAGGAAGGAAGGAAGGAAGGAAGGAAGGAAGGAAGGAAGGAAGGATAGCAATCAGGGTGGATTTGATTTAAATCACTAGGAAAAAGACTCCAAGGGAAGGATACTGTAAAATCCCCATTCCCACCCCACTCCAGGGGAAGGATACTGTAAAATCCCCATTCCCACCCCACTCCAAGGGAAGGATACTGTAAAATCCCCATTCCCATCCCACTCCAAGGGAACGATACAGTAAAATCCCCATTCCCACCCCACTCCAGGGGAAGGATACTGTAAAATCCCCATTCCCACCCCACTCCAAAGGAAGGATACTGTAAAATCCCCATTCCCACCCCACTCCAGGGAAGGATACTGTAAAATCCCCATTTCCTCCCCACTCCAGGGGAAGGATACTGCAAAATCCCCATTCCCTCCCCACTCTAGGGGAAGGTTACTGTAAAATCCCCATTCCCACCCCACTCCAGGGGAAGGATACTGTAAAATCCCCATTCCCACCCCACTCCAGGGGAAGGATACTGTAAAATCCCCATTCCCACCCCACTCCAGGGGAAGGATACTGTAAAATCCCCATTCCCACCCCACTCCAGGGGAAGGATACTGTAAAATCCCCATTCCCACCCCACTCCAAGGGAAGGATACTGTAAAATCCCCATTCCCACCCCACTCCAGGGGAAGGATACTGTAAAATCCCCATTCCCACCCCACTCCAAGGGAAGGATACTGTAAAATCCCCATTCCCACCCCACTCCTGGGGAAGGATACTGTAAAATCCCCATTCCCACCCCACTCCAAAGGAAGGATACTATAAAATCCCCATTCCCACCCCACTCCAGGGAAGGATACTGTAAAATCCCCATTTCCTCCCCACTCCAGGGGAAGGTTACTGCAAAATCCCCATTCCCTCCCCACTCCAGGGGAAGGTTACTGAAAAATCCTCATTCCCTCCCCACTCCAGGGGAAGGATACTATAAAATCCCCATTCCCACCCCACTCCAGGGGAAGGTTACTGCAAAATCCCCATTCCCTCCCCACTCCAGGGGAAGGATACTGTAAAATCCCCATTCCCACCCCACTCCAGGGGAAGGTTACTGCAAGATCCCCATTTCCTCCTGATCAACTGGGACTCGGGAGGGAGAGAACAGATGGGGGCGGGGACAGTCAGAATTTTTCCTACCGGTTCTCTGAACTACTCAA